CCCCAAAACCCCAAAACCCCAAAACCCCATTTCAATTATATTATTGAATTGAATCTTCCTGAACCAATTCTCTTCACCATTCTTACCAGAAATAAGCAAATAAAGGGTTTTAACTAGAATTTAACAGATCAGACATTTCAGAAAACTCCACTACGTTTCTGAGTCCATTAGCATTCAGTGCTAGATTGGTTATACTTCAAGCTTACCTCGGTTAGAGCATTCGAGCCTCTTCTGGATCTTCACAGAAAGCTTCTTCATGTTTGTAGTATAGATTAAAATCAAGAACACAGCTGCATGTACAGTGTATCCTACGGCAATTCCTAAGAAAACCCCTGTAAGCCTTAAGTCCATTATATAGGTGAATACATATGTTAGAGGGAATGAGACCAGCCAGAAGCTTAGCAAGCACACCACAGTCGCATATTTCTGGTATCCCATTGCTTTGATCGATCCAATATGACATGTTTGGATGTAATCCCCTAATAAGTGCAGTACGAATATCGGAAATGTGGATACTATTAGATCGATCAATGTCTGGTCTTCGGTAAATAATCTCGCAATCGCTTCTCCTTGGAAAATGTAGAAATAAGCCACAATTACAAAGAAAATTATGGGCATACATGTTGCCAAATTGATGAAGATTTGGGAATTTCGGATTCTTCCAGATCCAAGGTTATTTCCAATTAAACTTGAGAGTGCAATTGACATTCCTAGAGCAATTTGGTAGATGAGGGCGTCGAAAGTAACACAAATAATGCTTGCACCAAGTTCATTCTCTCCAAGAGTACCTGCTATAAGAGTGAGAACTTCAAACCCCCAAACCTCGAGTAATAGCATAATCATTGATGGGACTCCAAACTCAAGATACTCCAATAAGCCAGTGAAAGAATCACCATTAATACAATGCCAACTCTGTGGCTTGAGGACTTCTTTATAGAAAGTTATGTACAAAACAGGAAGGATAAAACTTAAAACATAAGTTATAGTTGTAGCATACACTACCCCATCAAGGCCAAACCCATAGACATCAATGAAGAGGTATAACCATATGGTGTGCAAAATTCAGGATAATATCTGGGAATTTACCACTATGTAAAGGACACCCTGAGAAGTTAAAAATCTTCGTAGAAGTTCAGTCTGGCACACAATCCAAACTCCTGGGATCATCTTAATAATAAAGTCTCCTGCTATTTTTGCAGCCATTTTTGGTTGACCTCATAGGACGAGGAGATCTTCTGAAAAGAAAAGAATAATTGCCTGAAATATGAACATTACAGCCATGATTACTTGAGCTCTGTTGTAATAACATCCTGCAAGGTAATTCTTTCCACTCCCAAATGCTTGGGAAGATAATGTCTCAACTCCTCCAGAAAGCCCAATCCCGAGGGAGATCACTGTGATGTTAAGAGTCAGCATGGCAAGCCCAGCTCCTGAAATATAATCTGGCTGGTCCATCTTACCAATGAAATAGAAGTTTATATTATCTACCAACTTCCTAAGCACCAATCCAAAGCATGAAGGGAGGGCATATTTTATGATCAACAGAATAGCTCTTCAATATGTCAGGTCTTTCGGAGTCTCTTCTACTGAATCCTTCAAATTCTTTTCAAAAGGAATCACAGATGAATCCTCAAAAAGTAAACTTGAACTACCATTCATTTTGATAGTGTAAATTAAATAATATAGCTTAGATATTTGGGGTTTTGGGGTTTTGGGGTTTTGGGG